CTGTGGAGCGGCAGTGGCAGCGAGCTGTGGTGTCACCGTGCCATGGTGTCACTGTGCCAGGTCACCCGGTTCTGCCCATCCCTGGGGAAGGGGTTCCTGGGGAGGATAATCCGGGTGACCCCGTTTAGGTGCCATGGTGCATATATGTGTAAAGGCAGTGCACATGTATGTGCCAGGCGGCTGCACACATGTGTAAAGGTGGTGCACATGTATGTGCGAGGCAGTTGCACACACATGTAAAGATGGTGCATATGTATGTGCAAAGCAGTTGCACATGCGTGTAAAGGCGGTGCACATGTATGTGCAAGGCGGTTGCAAACACATGTAAAGGCAGTGCACATGTATGTGCGAGGTGGTTGCACACACGTGCAAGGGCGGTGCACATGTATGTGCAAAGCAGTTGCACACATGTGTAAAGGCAGTGCACATGTACGTGTGAGGCAGTTGCACACATGCGTAAAGGCAGTGTACATGTATGTGCGAGGTGGTTGCACACACGTGTAAAGGCGATGCACATATATGTGCAAGGCGGTTGCAAACACATGTAAAGCTGGTGCACATGTATGTGCAAGGTGGTTGCAAACACATGTAAAGCCGGTGCACATGTATGTGAGAGGTGGTTGCACACGCGTGTCAAGGTGGTGCACATGTATGTGTGAGGCAGTTGCACACGCGTGTGCACAACGCTGCCCTCGGCTGTGGGGTCACCTGAGGACAGCGGCGGGGGGTGTGGTGGGAAGGGGTAGAACAGCCGCGGGGACCCCCGGGGTGGGGGGTCCTGGTTGTCATGGGCCTGGTTGCCATGGGCTCGGTTGCCATAGTAACCCGTTGCTCGGGCGGGGGGGGCGTCCCTGAGCCCCGTTGCCATGGACGGCCGCAGGTGACCGCGCTGCGGCGCGGACGGGGCATGCGCGGGGCTGCGGGAGGGGCGGGCCGGGCACGGGCCACGCCTCCTTTTACGGCTACGGAGTGACGCAACGGAAGGGGCGGGGCAACGGGAGCGCAGGCGGAAGAGGTGGGTGGTGAGCGGCGGGATCGGGTCCCCATAGCCCGTAACGGGGTGTCCATAGCCCGTAATGGGGTCCCGTAGACCGTAACTGGGTACCCGTAGCCACTAATGGGATATCCGTAGCCCGTAATGGGGTCCCATAGCTCTTAACGGGGTCCCCATAGCCCGTAACGGGGTGTCCAAAGCCCGTAATGGGGTCCTATAACCCGTTACTGGGTCCACATAGCCCCTAATGGAGTGTCCGTAGCCCGTAATGGGGTCCCATAGCCCGTAACTGGGTACCCGTAGCCCCTTATGGGGTGTCCGTAGCCCTTAACGGGGTGTCCATAGCTGGTAATGGGGTGTCCCCATCCCCATGTCCTTACGGGGGTGTCCCCTGTCCCAGTTCAGACTGGGAGCCCCCCATTTCCTCCCCTGTTACCATAGCTCCTTGTCCCCTCGCTCCGTGTTTCCCAGTCTGGTGGCACCAGAGATCCTGCACCATGGTGAGTATGGCCACCAGGACCCCACCGGGGCCACCAGGACCTCCCTGTGACCTCTGTGACCACCCCATGGCCACTGTGGGGTCCCCATGGAGTCCCCATGGGGCTCTGATCACGGTTTCTCCCTAGGGTGAGCGCAAGGGCACCAACAAGTACTATCCCCCTGACTTCGACCCGGCCAAGGTGGGCCTCAGGGGGGCCTTGGGGGTGTTTGGGGGGTGTTTTGGGGGTGTCAGGGAGTTGGGGGGGGTTCCCTGGCTCCTGCTGACCCCCCCCCCATTTTTCCCCCCTCAGCACCGCTCCCTCAACAAGTACCATGGGAGCCACCCGCTGCGGGAGCGTGCTCGGAAGCTGGCACAGGGCATCCTGGTCATCAGGTAGGGACACGGGGGGGCCGTGGGGACACCATGGAGGGGGCTGGGGACACGGGGGCATGTTGGTGACATCCCCACACCGTGTGTATGTGTCCCCCCCCGGCCAGGTTCGAGATGCCCTTTAACATCTGGTGTGATGGCTGCAAGAACCACATTGGAATGGGTGAGTCTGACCCCGGCATTCCCAGCCCTAGCATTCCTGGGATGGGGCTGGGTCTGATCCCCCTCCTGCTCCAGGCGTCCGCTACAATGCAGAGAAGACGAAGGTTGGAAACTACTACACAACACCCATCTACAGGTGGGACCTGTCCCTATCCGTGTCCCTATCCCTGTGCCCATCCCTATCCCTATGCCCATCCCTGTCCCTATCCCTGTGCTCATCCCTATCCCTATCCCTGTCCCTGTGCCCATCCCTATCCCTGTGCCCATCCCTGTCCCTATCCCTGTGCTCATCCCTGTCCCTATCCCTATGCCCATCCCTATCACTGTGCCCATCCCTGTCCCTGTGCCCATCCCTATCCCTGTCCCTATCCCTGTGCCCATCCCTATCCCTGTGCTCATCCCTGTGCCCATCCCTGTCCCTGTCCCTGTCCTCATCCCTGTCCCTATCCCTATCACTGTGCCCATCCCTGTCCCTGTGCCCATCCCTATCCCTGTCCCTATCCCTGTGCCCATCCCTATCCCTGTGCTCATCCCTGTGCCCATCCCTATGCTCATCCCTATCCCTGTCCCTGTCCTCATCCCTGTCCCTATCCCTATCACTGTGCCCATCCCTATCCCTGTGCCCATCCCTATCCCTGTGCTCATCCCTGTGCCCATCCCTATCCCTGTCCCTGTGTCCATCCCTGTCCCCGCGTGGCCCTGCTCAGGTTCCGGATGAAGTGCCACCTGTGTGTGAACCACATCGAGCTGCAGACGGATCCCGCGGGATGCGACTACGTCATCGTCAGCGGTGCCCGGCGCAAGGAGGAGCGCTGGGACATGGCTGAGAACCAGCAAGTGCTGCCCACCGGTGAGTCCCAGGCACACCAGTGAGTCCCAGTTACACCAGTAACACCGGTGACACCACTAACACCAGTCACACAGTGCCACCGGTGAGCCCAGACACACCATTGAGTCCCAGTTACACCAGTAACACCAGTGACACCAGTAACACCAATCACACAGTGCCACCGGTGAGCCCAGACACACCATTGAGTCCCAGTTACACCAGTGACACCAGTAACACAGTGCCACCGGTGAGTCCCAGTTACACCAATAACACCAGTGACACCAGTTACACCAGTCACACAGTGTCACCGGCAAACCCAGTTACACCAGTAACACCAGTCACACTGTGCCACCAGTGAGTCCCAGTTACACCAGTCACACAGTGCCACCGGTGAGCCCAGGCACACCAGTAACACCACTAACACCAGTCACACAGTGCCAGCAGTGAGTCCCAGTTACACCAATAACACCAGTTGCACAGTGCCACTGGTAAGTCCCAGTGCTCCCAGTCCCCCCAGTGCTCCCAGTGCAGCAGTGGTGCCCGTGTCCACAGAGCGGGAGGCACGGGAGCGGCTGGCATCCGATGCCATGTTCCGGCTGGAGCACGGCGCCAAGGACCGGGAATGCCGGGAGCGGGCGGGGCCGGGGCTGGCGGCGCTGCAGCACTTCCAGAGCCTCTGGAAGGACGACTTTGGGATCAACTGCCGCTTGCGGAGCCACTTCCGGGTGAGCGCTGCGAGCGCACCCCAGTGCGCACCAGCATAGACCAGTGTGCACCAGTGACTGCGTGGGGAGGGATGTCCCTGCCCCTGTATCCCCATACTGGGAGGGATGTCCCTATCCCTGTATCCCCATACTGTGAGGGATGTCCGTATCCCTGTATCCCCACACTGGGAGAGATGTCCTTATCCCTGTATCCCCATACTGGGAGGGATGTCCCTATCCCCGTATCCCCATACTGGGAGGGATGTCCCTGTCCCCATATCCCCATAGTGGGAGGGATGTCCCTATCACTGTATCCCCACACTGGGAGAGATGTCCCTATCCCCATATCCCCATACTGGGAAGGATGACCCTATCCCTGTGTTCCCACACTGGGAAGGATGTCCCTATCCCCATAGTGGGAGGGATGTCCTTATCCCTGTATCCCCACACTGGGAGGGATGTCCCTATTCCCATAGTGGGAGGGATGTCCTTATCCCTGTATCTCCATACTGGGAGGGATGTCCCTACCCCTGTATCCCCACACTGGGAGGGATGTCCCTATCCCCATATCCCCATAGTGGGAAGGATGACCCTATCCCTGTGTTCCCACACTGGGAGGGATGTCCCTATCCCCATAGTGGGAGGGATGTCCCTGTCCCTGTATCCCCATAGTGGGAGGGATGTCCCTTGCCCCATATCCCCACACTGGCGCTGTCCCTTCCCTGCCGCCGTCGCTGTCGCAGCCGCTCCGGTTCCCCCCGCAGGAGCAGAAACCGCCGCGGGAGGAGCCTCGCCCGGGGCTCGGCATCGCGCTGCTACCGGAGGAGCCGCAGGACCGGCGGGTGGCGGCGCTGCTGGCGCTGCAGAGCCCGCTCTGTGCGTGGGGGACCGCGGGGGGGCCCTGTCCCTGTGTGACCCTCCCCCCCGCATGTGTGTGTGACCCCCCCGTGTCCCCCCAGCCTACGAGGACAAGCAGAGGCAGAAGCGCACCGAGATCTCCTCCCGGCCCTGGTTCCCCGCGGCCACCGGAGACCCCCCACGGAAACCGGCGCCGGGGGGGGGGACACCGCGGACCCCCCCCCCTACCCGCAGCACCCTCGGCATCATCCGCAGGGGTGACCCCCCTGCCGGCACCCCCCCAAAGCACAGCGCGGAGCCCCGGGGGGGGGCTGAGCACGGGGGGGGCGGGCAAAGCACCCCCACAACGTCCCTGGTCGCTGATTATTCCGACTCCAGCTCTGACAGCTCCTGAGGGGGACAGGGACCTCCCCCGGGGCTGCTCCAACGCCCCCCCCGCCTTTGTCAATCCCCCCTCCCGGGTTCATCCCCCCCCATTAAAAGCCGTTGGCAGCAGCACGGCCCCTTTCACTGCTCCGTGCCACCATGGGGGGGTCACTACGGGGATCCCCCCCCACCTTCGGCTCCTTCCGGCCATGCGGGGTAGAGGGGAGAGGAAGCCCGAGCTCCGCCCGCGCCATGGCGCTGGAGTCCATCCGGTACCGGCGTGGGTCCCTCTCCATCCTCAACCAGCGCCTGCTGCCGGAGCAGCTCCGCTATGAGCGGGTGGACGGAGCGGAGCGCGCCTGGGAGGCCATCAACGGCATGGAGGTGACCTGGGGGGGGGGCACGGATCTCAGAACCCCTAGGGGGGAGGACACGGGGTGACAGCAACGGTGCCGCAGGTCCGGGGAGCGCCCGCGATCGCGCTGGTTGGATGCTTGAGCCTGGCGCTGGAGCTGGCGGCCGGGGCCGGGGCCGGTGCCGGGGATGGGGTCGCGGCCCTGGAGGCCTTCGTGGAGCAGCGACTCCGGTTCCTGCTCACGGCGCGACCCACGGCGGTGAACCTGCACCGTGAGGCCGAGCGGCTGCGGGAGCGGCTGCGGGAATGGAGCCGGAGCCCCGGGATCACGGCCCCGGAGCTGCGAGAGCGGTAGGGGCACGGACGGGGGGCGGATTGGGGTCCCCCAGGGGGTGTGGGGGGGGCTATTGGGGTGCTAAGGGTGTATTGGGATCCCTGGCAGGGTGTTGGGGTTCGGGGGGGGCTGTTGGGGTGCTAAGGGTGTATTGGGATCTCTGGGAGGGTGTTGGGGTGCAGGGGGGGCTATTGGGGTGCTAAGGGTGTATTGGGATCTCTGGGAGGGTGTTGGGGTGCAGGGGGGGCTATTGGAGTGTTAAGGGTGTATTGGGATCTCTGGGAGGGTGTTGGGGTGCAGGGGGGGCTATTGGGGTGCTAAGGGTGTATTGGGATCTCTGGGAGGGTGTTGGGGTGCAGGGGGCGCTATTGGGGTGCTAAGGGTGTATTGGGATCCCTGGGAGGGTGTTGGGGTGCAGGGGGAGCTATTGGGGTGCTAAGGGTGTATTGGGATCCCTGGGAGGGTGTTGGGGTGCAGGGGGGGCTATTGGGATGGGGGGGCAGGTGTTTACTACCCAGGTTCATTCCCCACCCCCCAGCATCATTGAGCACATTGAAGGGCTCCTGGCCAAGGACCGAGAGGACAATGAGAGCATTGGGGCTCATGGGGCCCGGGACATCCTGCGCCGCGTCCCTGCCGGTGCCACCGTCACCGTCCTCACCCACTGCAACACCGGGAGCCTCGCCACGGCCGGCTATGGCACTGCACTTGGTAGGACCCCGAGCCCCCCCAGCAACCCAAATACCCCCCCAGCACCCCAAATACCCCCCCCAGTACCCCAAATACACCCCCAGCAACCCAAATACCCCCCCTCAAACTGACTGCAGCTCCCCACTGCCCACCACAGGCATTGTGCGGGCACTGCACGGGCAGGGCCGGCTGCGGAGGGTCCTATGCACCGAGACCCGGCCCTACAACCAGGGCAGCCGCCTGACGGCCTTCGAGCTGCTGCACGACAACATCCCCGTCACCCTCATCACTGACAGCGCTGCCGCTGCTGCCATGAGGGAGCACGGGGTGGATGGTGAGAGTCGGGAGGGACCGCAACGGGGATGAGATTGATGGGGATAGGAGTGGTGCTGGAATGGGGATGGAATGGGGATAGGGATGGAGCTGGGATGGGATTGGCATAGGGGTGGCAGCAGGATGGGGATCGCAATAGGATCGGGATGGAATGGGGATGGAACCAGGATGGGAATGGAGCTGGGATGGGGATTGCAGTGGGATGGAATGGGGATGGGGATGGAGCTGGGATGGGGATGGGGTGGGGATAGTGATGGCAACGGGATGGGGATTGCCACAGGATGAGGATGGAATGCGGATGGAGCCAGGAGGGGGGGCGGCAATGGGATGGGGATGGAATGGGGATATGGATAGAGCTGGGATGAGAATGGAGCAGGGATGGGGATGGAGCTGGGATGGAGATGGAGCTGGGATGGGGATGGAATGGGGATAAGGATGGAGCTGGGATGGGGATGGAGCCAGAATGGGGATGGAGCTGGGATGGAGATGGAGTGGGGATGAGAATGGAGCCGGGATGGGGATGGAGCTGGAATGGAGCTGGAGTGGGGACGGGGATGGAGCCAGGATG